GCATTTGAAGAAAACCCACAGTAAACTTGGAAACTCACTCTAGGCCACAAGTTTCCACTCATTTCCAGTCTCCTCCACAATAGGCCTGCTTTTGTTTACTCCTAAGAATCCCCACATAGTTGTTTTTATATTTTGTCCAGAGTTTATAAGTTGTTATTAGTGAGGGTTTAGTTTGTAAGGTGTAGCTGTGGAACTCTAACAAATTATTTTTGAAACTGGGAAAATGCAACATTTAACATGTGAAAAGCATGATGAAACATCCACACACACACACACACACACACACACACACACACACAAAACCTTTAATTTTCCTATTTTGACTATTTAAGCAATTAGATGATGGATTTCCAAGCAGGAAAAATAGAAAATGGAGAGAAGAAGAAGGCAGAGAGAGTATTTTGTTGTTCCATGAGCTGTTGTGTATTTATATATGTATGTATTTTTGTATGTATATGTATATTCGCAAGGGATATAGGTTTACTGTAGTTACTGGTTATAAAGAGTTGAATAAGTTAAGTTTTTATAGTCATTGAACTTCCTGTGGGCTTCTGAATAGCTTAGAGAAAAGCCTCTTTTGAGCCTGAAAACAATTTTTTTTTTTTTTGTATTTTCTGTATCCTTTTTAATGAACACATGTGACGGTTACTATTATTGATATTGTTAGGATTAAAGGCAGCAAATTATGGAAAGTGTGGGCAAATTGAAAAGATTACTATTATCTCATTCTTTTAGAAAAGTTATTAATATGTTTGTATAATTCATTTTAGGCTTTTTTTATTTTTTGTAAATTATGATCAGGGCACAAACAGATACCACTGATATTTCAAAAGCAAATATTGTTTTCAGAATATTTTTCTTTTCCTTGCAATGGTGAAGATTTTACTAGATGAGATAGACTGTCCTTGGGCTTAGAAGTTTCTTTGGGAACTTCAGTGCTGTGTATTGGAAGTTGACATTGGCATGAAATTTAGGAAGTAAATTGAGATGATATTTGGCTATGGACCTAAGGGAACCTAAATCCTATTCTTAATAGTTCACCCCTCCCACTGAGGTACCCTGACTATATATAGGAAGAGGTCAAGGCCAGGTAATCCAAATTACCAGCTGGGGCTTTGGCCCCGTTCCCAATGTAACATTCTGATAAGCTAGGCCTAACATGCAGGACTCTTTTCCATGTGTGAGGTGGGTTTATGTAGCTCGGAACCAAGTAATCTGGTGGCCTGCTCTATTTATTCCACTTTAGTTAGAGTCTAAAACAGTTTTGGATTTTCTGTTCCAATAGGAGGAGCAGCCACAACTGCAAGAACCAGAGAGCAACCTGCACCAGAGTCTAGGCAACTCATGCAGGAAGCTCTCCCTGGGTCTTTAGCCACGTTTGGCCAGGGAGCTTCTTCCCAATGTCTGATCTGGCCTTGTGAGAGAGGAGAACAGCTGGCTCTTGACCCTTCTGACTACTTCACCACTCAGGCCTTGAGCCTCTTGGTAGATGAGGAAGGAAAAGGCACAGACAGAGTTCTAGTTATTTGGGAAAAAGAGGAGAGTGAAATTATTGCTTGGGTTGCAAAGATTTTAAGCACATTTGTTCCATTTTAAAGTGTAGGGTAAACTTAATCAACCTGGACTGTGAGCAGCAGATTAGATACCTCATGTAGATTAATACTTTATCCTTTTGGGACAACCACATTATTTTTCTTTGAGTATCTCCAAACTAGAACTAGTCTCTAGTACATTGCTCCCAAGAATAAGAGAACATACTATTTCTCCATGGCATAGGATGTTTAAAAATCATTTTACTTATTTTGTAGGGTTGAGAGGTGGGTGGGAGAATAAAGGCACCAAGCTTTGATGGATTGGCCCATTAAGCACTGGGATACCACCCACCTGAATGCACAATAGAAGTTCCTGTCCAATTTAGAAGTTCTATTTCTATTGGGTTATTTTTAGACATAAAGAGCAACTTTCCTAGTAAGAACTCATGGGACTATACTGAGAAGTGTTAAACAATGAACACTTGTTAAATTGCAATAGCAAACCAAGTGCCTGGGAGAAGTTGGGAAGGGCACCCAAAGCAGGAACTAAGAAATAAAAGGGAAGTGAAGTTGGGACAGCCAAGTCAGATTCTCGTCAGGTATTCATGTGATTCTGGCCTGTGCTCTGTTCCAGTTACTACCTTTCAACCTTTTGCCGGAAGAAATGCAGATGATGTTGGTGAGAACATATTACCACCTGTGCAAACAATATCAGCCAAAATACTGTGAGAAGGATTATATAGCATTTTTAAAATGAGGAAACTTCCTTCAGGGCCTTAGGAATCATTTCTAATATAATATAACGTAGTAATGTTCATATACTATGGCCTGGAAAACAGGCAACAGATTATTATTTTCACTTTTTGATATGAACACTTGGTATGGATAGAATTGAATTGTCCAAGGTCTAGTCAGTGGTGGAGCTGGGTAAAGGAATAAAACCTATTAATTCCCAAACGGGAGCTTTATCATGTAGCTGGGTCTTCAGTTTGAGAATCAGCAGTTCATATGTTAGAAATTAAAAGCACTATGACTATATTTAGAGGATAAATAAGATATTTTCTTCTTACTACCCAAACTACATGATAAATGAAGAATTCTAATTGTAAAGATAACTTATGAATTCATAGGAGTCCAACTGAGCAATGTGGATAATGATGAAGAAATGAAGAGTAAAATAAAAAATATTTTCCACATTTAAGTTTTAAATCCATATGGATTTATTTTGGTGCATGGTATGAAATGAGGTGTAATTTTCTTCCCAAATGGTCAACCAATTGCCTTAGCACAATTTATTGAACAATTCTTCCTTTTATCACCAATTTAAGCTGCCTTTATAATGTCATATTATTCTGAATTCTTTTTCTTTTTTTATTGAAACATAATTAAACAAACATATTTGTGGAGTACCTTAATTCTTTTCCTTACTCTCTCAGCCCATCTGTTGATTCCAGCAGCAGTATTTCAGTTCTGATTCTTCTATCTGTTTAAGTTTTAATAGTCTGGTGGCTCCCTTATTTATTTTTTTCATATTTTTGGCTAATCTATTCTGCTTATTATTTCAAAAGAATTCAGAATTACTTTCAAAGTTCAAAATATCATTTTTAGATTTTTGTGCTGGCATTAAACCAATACAGTAATTTGTGAAGACCTCATATAATTAAAATATTTGGTCTTCCCACCAAAGAACACTAATTCTCTATTTAGTTGATTCTTTCTCTTATGTCCTTCAGTAAACTTTACATTTTCTTCATGTAGTTTTAGTACATTTATTGTTATGTTTATGCCTAGATACTTACTCTTTAAAAAAAATTATAAATGAAAGTTTGCCATTATATTTCTGATTGGACCATTTTGGTATAAAGGAAGGTATTGGTTTTTGTATATATATTTTTTTCTTCAGTTCAAATCCCTTTCAGAACTTTATTATAGTTCTAAATAGTTCCTTAGTGCCTGGGTTTTCTAGGTAGACAATCATATCTGCAAATAATGATGATATTCCAGAGATGTTTCTGCTTTATTTATTTATTTATTTATTTAAAAAGCTTGTCCTTGGGTTTTCTTTAAAAAAAAAATTACTGTCCTTCTAATTCATTATTTTCTCTTTTTATTTTCATTATTTTACCCCTATTTCTTAAACTCTCCTCTTCTTGGCCTCTGTGGAGCTCCATTCTCATTTTCCTCTCTGATTGCTCTTGTTCCTCCCACCTTCCAAAGGTAAGTGTGACACAGAATCTGTCACTGGCCTCTTCTCTATTTATATTTCCTGTTAGCCAGCTTTGGTAACAATCTCAGCATTTTCAAGATCTCAGAATTCACTTTATGATCATGAATAGCTGGCCTTGCTGAATAACAGATGTTTTTTTTTTTTAATTGTGTGATAAAGTACACATAATATAAAATTTACCTTAACCATTTTGAAGTGTACAGTTCCATAAATAATAGAAATTTTATTATGTATTTGGTTATGATCGAGACTTCATCAAGGTGATTCAAAGTCCCTCTTTTATAAAGGAGCTTTAATTGCTCTTATTTATTCCTAATCAATGGACAGGTCCTGTCAGTCTTACCTGTTGTGTCTCTATTTTCTCTGCTCCATTACCAAGGCCAGGTCTCAGGCTCAAGCTACCGAGACTCTTATTTGCCCTTCCTGCCTTTATTCTTTCTTCCACTCAATATTAATATCCCTCAAGCACCAGATTCTATCAAGACACTTTTCTGCTAAAGATTTTGAGTGGTTTCCAGTATCTCGCAGAAAATGTACAAACACCTGGCATTCAAGGACTCATAATCTGGCTGTCCACCTCTCTCTTCCTGCACTCTACTGTAGCTCAGGTGACACACTGAAGGAAGTGGGCTGGGTAAGGAAGGGACACCTGGGACCAGCTGGAGAAAGAGGGGACAGGAGCTATCTAGCAACAGAGAAGGAATTTGGTTCTTGCATTGGCAGATCCTTCACTTTTTTTTCCCCCTAGAGAAACGGCAAGTCTGGAGTTTTATGTGAAAATCTCCCAATTTAAAATTGTTGACTATGAATTAATGTTTCTGAAAAACTCTGAACAATTGAAAAACATGTTTGTGGGCTGGATACAGTTAGTTGGTGACTTCTATTTTCTCTTAGCAGGGCTACTTTAGATTTTTTGTGCCTATGCCCCATGTGGTCTCTCATGCCTGGAAGTGGGACACCACCTCATAGTCTAAAGAAATGTTAAAATAAATGCAGTAGGGGTTTGAGCAACCCCCACTGAAAAAAAGTACTGCTTTTGAGGTTTGTCTTGGTTCTTGTGAAAAGGCCAATCAATGGATATGAAATTATCTACTAATTTTACCCACTTGTGCCTCAGGAAGCACAGTGAGGGTCTATCATGAGAAGCTTTGATGAGCTGGAATTTTGTTTATTGACAGAAGTTTTGTTCTAAACACACACACACACATATATATTTGGTTATTTTACAGGTCTAATTTGTCAAGATGTCCACTATTCCGAAGCACTTTGGACTGAAACACAAAGAAGAATCGTACGTGTTTAAAGAGCTTGAGAAGGTTCGCCAGGAGACTAGAAAGGATTTTCTCCGATTCAAGCAGAAGTTGGCCTCCATGCCGGCTGTAGATGAAGGCCCAGTCCATGGCCTCCAGGCCCCCCGCCCTGGGGGGAAGGAGTGCGTTTTCTACTCTGGACCCCGAACGTCCAAAAGGTCCCCTCCAGCTAAAGGCCCAGCCACCCTCCCTGCGGCCCTCGGGCAGGAGGCGCCCCCAGGCCTGGGAGAGGCGGCGGCTCCTGGGAAGACCCGGCCATTTTGCCCCCAGGACTTTTACTTGCGGAGCTCTGCGTTCCTACGGCTGCGTCCCCAGAAGAGGCCACCGGTCATCGCCTCGGCGGTCGGCACGTCCAAACCTGTCGTCCTGCTGCCGCCGCCCTCGCCGCCGGCGAAGCCCAGAGCGCGCCGGGAGAGTCCGAGTCCCGCAGCCGCCGGGCGGGTCCTCGGTCCGGGCCGCAGGCGCCAAGCGAGCCGGGACGCAGACCCGCGCGCAGAGGCCCGCAAGGCCAAGGAAAGGAAGGTCGGCTCCATCAGCGAGGACAGCGACGCGGCGGCGGCCAGCCGGCGGAGGAGGTTGAGGATCCGCACTCACTTCGTGCGCCAGAGCTCGACCGTCGACGCGCGACAACCGTCTGGCTCCGTCGCCAAAGCAGAGCGGGAGAGTGGCCCGCCGGGCGACACGCGACAGGCCGCACAGCTGCCGGCCCTGCTGCCCGCCCGAGCCGCCCCCAGGTCCATCGAGGACATCATCGCCTCGCAGCAGTCCGAGGCCCAGCTGGCCTCCGACCAGTACTTCAGAGAGCTCATAGAGAGCGTCCTCGGCCAGAACTACGACATCAAAATGCAAGTAAGTGAACCAGAACGACAGTAAGAGTTCTTCTGGGTGAATGTAACTGGAAGACATGTCATAAATAATGTTATATAATATTTCTTTATATAATATTTCAGTGTATATGATTTGTTACAACACGAAACACTGTGGTGGTGTGCAGCTTTGCATTTTGTTTGGATTTTGAATTTGAATTTTTCCGTCGAGGGTGTGTATCCTCTTTTAAAAGTGAAAGAAATTGAGAAGTTATTCCAAAAACTGGTTCAAAGAACATTAGCTGAAGACCTGAGTAATACTTCAACAAATAGCCTTCCCTTTAAAATGCTTTGTGATTATTAGGAGTGAGATAATAGAACAAGCATTTTATATGAAAAATTCGATAGTGAATTATGGTAAAAGAGAATTTATATTCTACGAAGATCAGTCCATTACTATTAAGAAGATTAATTTATAAGAATCTATAATATTTTCAGTGAGAACCATTCTCTTGAAACTTTTTATAAAAACTTATTTTCTAGGCCTTCCTAGTTATAGGGACTCATAAGTGCTTCTTGTATGCAAGCACAATGGTATATACTTTTTGTCCATTTTTGTCCCAACAACAACCCCATCAGGCAGATAGATACCATAAAAGTCCTATTTTATGTAGGCTTTCTAGCTTTAAAGAGGTTAAAGGATTGGCTCAGTGTTTTGCAACTAATGCATGGTGAGCTGGGGTTTCACACCAGGCAGTCTCACCCAGAGACTGAACTGGAATCTTGCCCTGGATGGTCCACTTGTTGACTATGCTATGTCACCAGCAGGAAACAAAGCTAGTTAGGGTCATATTTTAGTTTAAGATATTTTGTCCATTATATAGAATTTGCTTTGGCAGGGACATTCAAAGCAAAAATAGTAACAAGGAAACTTGAGCCCTACCTAAAGAAAGGAAGAAAAAAACCCAAACAAAACATTTTTTTTTTTTTCTTGAGAATGACAATGAGATTGACAGTAAGAGGGAAGAAGATTCTATTACTGTTCTTGGCTGAGGCTCCACATCTCTTGTTAGTACACAGAATACTGCTGCCACATTAAGTCTTTAAAATAGTTTTAGCCCCAGAATACACTCTTGGCTGTGATTTAAGGAATGTGATCATAAAGGGAAACAAAAACATGTATGAACAAGAGCCCCCAGTGTCATCTTTGACCTAATGTTTGTGGGCAGGCACAAATGTTCTGAATTAAGACCCACCCCTCCCCATGGTTACTGAACAAGATCACCGTGACTACTTGGGCTGTTTCAAAATGGCTATTTCTAATTAGATTTTCTGTGAATCTAATAGAAAAAGGAATCAGTGATGCCCATTCAAGAACCTTAGCAAAGAGAAGAAAGGCATTGGTGCCCTTGTGAGATGGGCCCCATACCCTATCCTATGGCATAGTCAAGTTATTTGACATGATGAGGGACCCATATTAGAAACTGGCTGAGAGGTCCTATACAGTTGAGGAAAGTGATACTTCAGAGCAGGGGCCCATAAGAAAGAGTACACTTTAAAGGGCTCAAATGGAATTAGGGGTATATGAAGGGAGTATTAAGTGGATACTGAACATTGGGACAGTGAAATCTGTTCTTCTACCAGAAGTATTCATTAGTCTTGTGTATCCTTTTTTGGTTCTTTAGTTACCTGAATTGTTTTATGTAGGAGGGTGGCATGGATCACGGAGAATTAGAATCAGGAGCCAGCGGCTCTAGCTGTGTGTTACAGGACTTGGACAGTGTCAGATGTCTCACTCTCATTCCTGCCTTCCATTATCTTGATTTTTTTTTTAAAAAGCAGACTGGATTTTGTTCTTGGTTTTTAAATTTTGTTTCCTCCCACTCCCAACAATTCTATAAGATTGAGCTTGCATTATTTTGAGTAAAAATGGTTTCCAAAGTTTTATTAAGAGTGAAAAAGGAACAATGGGGAATTTGTAGAAATGGCATTGGGTGGTTAAGTGAGAGGTAGCAGTAAAAACACAAGTGTAAAAGGGGTGTCTAAATTATGATTTTTAAAGTTCTTAAAAATATTAAAATAAGGACATTTGTTTTATTTATTTATTTATTTATTTATTTATTTATTTTTTCCTTTTTGTCTTTTTTTCGTGTCTGGCAACGGATCGCAACCCTCAGTGTCGCGCCCATACCGGACCGGGACCGGCAACGGGATTGCAACCCTCGGTGTTGCTCCCACACCTCGCTAAGCCAGTGAGCGGGAACCGGTCTGTATGTGGGATCCGAACCCTCGACGGGAGCGCCACTGCACTCCCAAGTGGCGCACTGTAGCAGTGCGCCACCGGGCCGGCCCAAGGTCATTTGTTTTAAACATTTAGAGTTTATATAAACATTATTGTCTCCAGGAAAAGCAATAGATATTTCACTTTAGAAATCTTAACTTGGAGCCACACAGCAGTCCCTAGAGGGAACACCAAAGGGCAAGACAGTCTTGGCAGGCTGTATGGTCTCTGTTTAAAGCTCGGGCAAAACCATTCCAGAACTTAACTGTCAATTGTAGGTCTGACATCTAAACCAGGGTTTCTCAACCTTGGCATGCTTGAGTTTTCAGCCAGATAATTCTTCATTGTGTGTAGCTGTCCTACAAATTGTAGGATGTTTTGAAGCATCTCTGGCCTCTACCCACTAGATGCCAGTAGCACTTCCCAAGTCATGACAATAAAAAATGTCTCTAGATGTTGTCAAATGAACCCTTGGGGAGAGGGGCAAAATCACCCCACCCCGCCTCCATCAACATGAGAACCATTGGCCTAAACAGTATGTATACACCATGGCAGGAGAGGTAGGGATGTTATAAATGTTTATTTTACTGAGGAGTTCAATATTATCACTCATGAAATACATTCTTATTATGAGTCCTGAGTTCAGAGACCACCTTCCAGGTACTAATTGAGGATGAAGGAGCCCGGCTGTCCTTGCTTCTGTCATGCGTAGTTGTTTTTGTTCATACAGCTCAAAAAGAAAATGGCTTACGGGCCGAGACCGTGGCACACTCGGGAGAGTGCGGCGCTGGGAGCGCAGCAGCGCTCCCACCGCGAGTTCCAATCCTATATAGGATGACTGGCGCTCACTGGCTGAGTGCGGTGCGGCTGGGCTCAAAAAAAAAAAAAAAAAAAAAGGAAAAGAAAGAAAATGGCTTAGCATGATCTAGGCAAGAGAGAATACATGTTCCAAGGTCTCCTATAAGCAAATAATGTATAGTCCACATGAAAATGTTATATCATAAAACTTATGCCTATTTCTGCTTCAGGGAAGATGAAATAGATACACTTTTCCCTATTCCTCCTGCTAAATACAACTAAGTACAAACTCTGAACATTACATATAAAAAAAACATGAGACGACTCCAAAAGGTGGATAACAGAAGACAGACCAGCTATGGATTTTGGGACACAAGGAATTACATGGTGATGAGTTCTCTGCGTTTTCTTTTTGCCTATTATCTCCCAGACTTGGAGCTAAAGAAGCTCGTAACCCTAGGAATGCCATTTTGTACAGATAGACAAAGCCTCCTCTCTTTAGCCAAAGGATCAGGAAAGGGGCAGACTAGCAAGACAGAAAACTTTTAAACAATAACAGTGCTGCTCTAAACAAACACTGCAGAAAAAACCTGTAGCCCCATCCCACTCCATCAGCCAAAGCTGGACTTCCAGTCTCAGCAGGCTGTAACAACGTGCCTCCTTACCTTCCCACTGGGGTGGTATCAGTGGAGAGTCCAGACTTGCAACACTATCCTGCAGTAAAGATGTCACTTTCTCCCTACTCCCTGTGGTGTGGAGAATAGCAATGAGACATTCCTATTCCTTCCAACTAGGATAGTGTCAGCAGAAGCCTGTGTGGAGCCTGAACACCTTCTCCCACCCAGCAGTAACAAGCTGGTCTCCACCTCTGGTGCCAGTGGAGGCTGAGTGGAGAACCTGTTCTTCTGCTCCTAACTGGCAGTAAAGAGGCAGTGCCTGCCCTCCCGCATTGCCTCTGTTACAGTAGTGTCAGAGGAAGCCAGCTAAAACAAAAAGTTTTTTTTTTTTTTGTCTTTTTTTTCGTGTCTGGCAACGGATCGCAACCCTCAGTGTCACGCCTGTACCGGACCGGGACCAGCAACGGGATCGCAACCCTCGGTGTCGCACCCACACCTCGCTCAGCCAGTGAGCGGGAACTGGTCTGTATGTGGGATCCGAACCCTCGGCGGGAGCGCCGCCGCGCTCCCAAGCGGCGCACTGTAGCAGTGCGCCGCCACCGGGCCGGCCGTAAAACAAAAAGTTTAAATAAAATCCAGACTCTCATACTACCCCAAAATATCCAGGTTTCAGTAGAAAATAACTTGTCACGCCAAGAACCAGAAACATCTCAACTTGGAAGAAGAAATGACAATCAGTAGATGCCAACATTGAAATGACAGAGATGTTAGAATTATCTGACAAACATCTTAAAGCAGCCCTCAAAAAAACGATTCAATGAGCAATTATGAATATACATGAAATAAATGAAAAAATAGAAATCTTAGCAGAGAAGTAGAAAGTCTCGATAAATTAACAGATTATATAAAGAAAAACCAAAGGAAATTTTTACATCTGAAAAATAAAATAACTGAAATAAAAATTCAGTAGATGGGCTCAACAGCTGAATGGAGAGGACAGAGGATAGAATCGGTTATATTGAAGAGAGAACAATATAACTTACCCATGCTGAACAGCAGAAAGACAATAGGTTGAGGAAAAAAATGACAGAGCCTCAAGGACCTGTGGGACTATAACAAAATATGTAACCTTTATGTCATCACAATGTGTGATGGTCAAATCAGGGTAGTTAGCATATTCACCATTGCAAAAATTTATCATTTCTTTGTGATGAGAACATTTGAGCTTCTCTCTTCTAGATATTTGAGAATATACAATAAATTATTGTTAACTATAGATGTCTAGCACTACTGTATACCACTAGAACTTATTTTTCCTATCTAGCTGTAATTTTGTTCATCAACCAA